TCTGGCTGCTTTCCCTCGTTACAGACTTGAACATAATCTGAAATGCCATTGGTCTTCTCCAGTTGAACTCAACTTCTTAATTAGTTTTCCTTTTAGACTTTGCCTTTTGGGTTTATGCCTGAAGCTACTGCTATAGACACATATGGATGTATATTGAATATATATATTTACGTACTTATATTTTGTATTTCTCTGGAACTATCTCTGTACACATGCTTTATTCACATTGAGACCCATGTTGCCCTGCATTAAAAAAAAAGTGACAGAACCCAACTGAAATTTCCATATACTACTTTAATTTCATCATCTCCTTTTCAGGAATGATTCAGTGATGTGTAACTCAGCAAATATGCATTGGGCACTTTCTCTGGGGCAGATACTTTAGATCCTACAAGTATAATACTTAAAACAGACAAAGGTTCATGTTGTCATAGGACTCATGTTCTTGCAAGGAGTAACATGTAACAAACAACAGATCTCCTGAATAATAAGCAAATGATGTAGTTTAGTAGAAGCTGATAAAAGCTGATGGGAAATAAAAAAGGAAGAAGATGATGAGATAATCAGATTTATGAAAAAGAAGTGTCAGCAATAATTTTACATTATTAGAGATATGGTTATTAAGGATGTAGAATGTAAGTACAGCTATAAAGACTTTGATAAACTGCAATATATGTAAAATAATATGGAGACAGAAGTGACTGAGGCAGAGAGATCAGTAAGGGGAAAATCATGATTGCTCATTTTAATGACCATCAGGTAGTGCATTATTCAGAGACGTTTTGTATTTGAGATACCTAATGGAATAAACCTTAAGATATTCAGCCAACAGTTTGGAACTCAAGTGCAGTACTTTGCAGAGAATTTGAGATCACAGATGACTTTATATTCTGCGTCTGACCACCCTTTCTATGTTTGGGGTATCCTTTTACATTATGGAGTAGTTTCTTCCTCTAGAAACAAAAAGATGCCAGGAAAAATTTCCCTAGCCTTCTGTGCAGCTGTATTCCAGATACACAATCAAGGCTCTAGTGATAAGGTTTATTTATGCATATTTTAAAACAAAAAGTCAGTACATGAAAAAGCAAGGGTAATACATACTCGAGTTTTTGAGGGGGCAGAAAAGTGCCACGTACACAATTTTTCAGAGATACGAATAGATAAATGATGCTGGAATGACAAGATCTGCGCCTAGTCCTGTTTCCATGTGACCATTTCTATAACACTTTAGGAGAGTTGTTTCTGACCGTCTACCCCCCAAACCAAGCTCCGTAACCCTTCCCGCAAATTCTGTGTTTAGTAAAACGTCCTTTAATAAATTTGTTTTCTGACTGATTCAGGCAGAGTTACAATTGTTTAGGAATACAAAACAAAACTACTAACTGACAGTGGAACCAAAGGCATATATGAAGATGTCACATGTGAATACATGTAATAATTAAAATCAAAGCATAAAGAGTACAAATAAAATAATTGAGAACTAAAGAAAATACAGTTATGTGGAAATATATTTGGAAGGAGAACGAAAAACCTGAACAGGAGTAGTCTTAACATGGGAGAAAAACCACTAAATGCTTTATAAATAATAGTAAGATTAGAAAATATTTCAGGGAAGCCTCAAATTCCATAGAGATCATTGAAAACTTTATTCAGAATTTTTAAGAGCATTTATTTTAGTAAAGAGATTATTTAGTGACAGTTGCACAAACTCACATCTACCTGAATTAAGAAAGCACCATGAGGTAATCACATTAGTAATCTAACTAGTAGCACTTTTTGTATCATTCAACCACATTCACCACCTCAGCATCACATTGTTTAGTGCTTCATTCCTTAAAGTACACACACACACACACACACACACACACACACACACACACGTAAATTTGTCATGATTGCCTGGTAACAAATTCCAATAGGGTATGCAATATTATTTATATTTTCCTTATGTCCTGGTCTAGGATACTGCACCAGATGTTCTCCAGACTATGGAGGCTGTCTTTGTGTTTCACGGTATGTTCCTACTTACTTTTGCTGCATTAGGCTGTTTCTTGACACATGCAATTTTCCATACTGCATTTCAGGGCCAAAGTAGACTCTCAGTTATGTCATAATAACTTTGTGTTTAATTCAGGTCTTTGTTTCTTGAGCTGAACATCTTCTCTGTGCTTTGTTGTGTATATCTGTGCATTTTCTCAAAGCCCAAGGGAAGAATGAGACAGAAGTGCATGATTCTAGCACCTACTCAATACTAAGGTCTTTAAGTAAAGCATAGTTCCTTTAGCAATATGTCAGCAGAGCATAGCTCCTCTATAAATCTTAGCAAATCCCTTTGGGGCTCCACTGATTCAGTTGCCAAGAAATTTGTTATTCAGAAATATTGAGAATAGCTTTGGCTTCTTTCACTGACCTCCCTCTTTTAGATGAGGTTCTTGAACCACTTTGAATGCTGAATACCAGCTTCCTATACTGGTATTGAATACAATTGAAACCTCTGCTCAGTACTAACTCTTCCATGGACATATAATTGATTTCCAGAAATTTGTTCTTTAATTAAGGATAACAAAAAAATATTGCCCACCTCTCATCATCTCAATTGAAACTGACTCTTAACAGAAGCTCCAGAAGTAAACTCTCCTACAAGTTTGTCTTCAGCATCTGTTACCCAGGCTTTTCTGCTCATTAATTATTTTGAGTGTATTCATGAATAACGTAAAATTACTGAGCAACAAAACTACAAGATATAGTCCCAAAATTTCAATTTTAGATATTTCAGAAAAAAAAGAAACCATGACTTACAACCTTCTTTATTAGCAATTTCTTATCTGCAGAGTGACTGTATTAAAGAGTACCTTTGAAAGTTCGATATAATATATTGCAATTTCCTGTTAACAGCATTGTCTTCAGACCTATACAGAAGGGCAGCTGCTTTACACTCCACATATGTGGTCTGCAGCAACATGCCACACCCACACTAAAAGGCTATGAAATAACATAAGGACAGCAATAAAATTATTCTAATCAAATGCACAACTTTAACAGTTCAGATGAAATTCCTGGACTGTCTTAGACTTTACTAAATGAACATTTAATTATGATCAATATAATAAGAATATAAAAAAGATAATTATTTCTATCAATTTCACATCTCAGAAGAAACAAATGCAACTCTGATCTTTCTCTATTAGAAAGATAAAAAAAAATTCAGAAAATTAGCAAATTCTATGAAAACTCATGAAAATATTCATCACATCTTTCTGGCATTGTAAGAATGTTTCTATCAAAACATCCTCTGATTCAGTTAAATAATATAGAATTACTTTGAGTTACATAGCAGAAATTTCAGTATTTTATTTTGAATCATTTTTAAAATGTGTAAAAAAGAAAATATAGTAACTAGCTTTTAAATACTAACTTAGAATGAATGTGATGTGGTGCTGAGAATGTATATATTGTTGATATGGGTTCAAACTATGCTACAAGGCTAAAGTAACAAAAACAGCATGGTACTGGTACCAAAACATATAGGCCAATGGAACAGAACAGAAGCCTCAGAAACAATGCCACATGTCTACAATCATCTGATCTTTGATAAACCTGACAAAAACAAGCAATGGGGAAAGGATTCCCTATTTAATAAATGGTGTTGGGAAAACTGACTAGCATATGCAGAAAACTGAAACTGAACCCCTTCCTTATACCTTATACAAAAATTAAATCAAGATAAATTAAAGACTTGGATGTAAGCACTAAAACCATAAAATCAAAGGATTATAAATCATTCTATTATAAAGATACATGCACATGTTTGTTTTTTGTGGCACTGTTCACAATAACAAAGACTTGGAACCAACACAAATGCCCATCAATAATAGACTGGATAAAGAAAATGTGGCACATGTACACCATGGAATACCATGCGGCCATAAAAAGAGGAGTTCATGTCCTTTGCAGGGACATGGATAAAGCTGAAAACCATTATACTCAGCAAACTAACACAAGAACAGAAAACCACCATTGCATGTTCTCACTCATAAGTGGGAGCTGAACAATGAGAACACATGGACACAGGGAGGGGAACATCACACACCTGGGCCTGTAAGGGGGTGGGGAGTTAGGAAAGGGATAGCATTAAGAGAAATACCTAATGTAGATGACAGGTTGATGGCAAACCACCATGGCACATGTATACCTATATCACAAACCTGCACATTCTGCACAAATACCCTAGAACTTAAAGTATAATAATAATAATATAAAATAAATACTAATTTAAAATGCAATGTATTTTGCTTCTACTATTACGCTTTATATTTAGTTTTTCCAGTTCAGTTATCTATGGATAGAAACATTTGATACTCTATTAAAAGACCATGAATCCAATTGGAAACAAAACAGTTCATATTTAATTATAGAACTGAAGAACAAAGCTAACTAAATTTAAAAAAATCAACCATATTCAACCGAGACAAACACATTAGAAAACAGACCATTAGTATATTCTTAAAAGAATGATATCTTGTATCTACATGTAATCCCACATAATGTACACATTTTGATCTCTACTAGCATGGTGTATACTAGAAAAAAAAACATTTCTGAATTTATTATATACTGTATCGTCTTAAAATTTGACCCATAATGAACAAATTCATATGAAGGTTAAAAATAATTTAATGACAGAAATAATTCCTATGTGAGATGGAAAGTTCAAATTAATATTTATCAAATGCATAATAAATTTAGAGAATATGTAATATTTAAAATAAATAATTAGAAAAGATGTGACTTCTGGAATGGTAGCATGGTAAGTTTTATAAACCTTCTCCCTAGAAAATGATCATATTGAAGAAATTATTTTATAGAAGTATTTGGAAATTGTTTCATAGCAAAAAAAAAAAAAAAAAAACTTTTCTTTTTTTTCCTGTGGCCCTTAGCCGTTACGTGCTTTCTCCTTCTCTCTCCCTATCTCAACATTTATTTCTTTTCTTTTTTCTCAGACTCTCCAATCTGAATGAGTAGGAACAAGAAAATGAGGCTCTCTCTCTCCTCATCTCCCAGTTAAAGGATATGCTATCTCACCAGAAGAGGTAGGTTGCCAGCTTTTCTCATACCTCTCAGCACTAAGTTGCTGATGCTAAATTCCTAGCATTTGAATCTAAAAGTTTGAGTTTTTCTTCATCCACTGAGCCCTGACTAGTAGGGTGGAAGCTCACTCTTACTCACGGCAAGCCAAAAATATTGAGTAAATAATAATTTCTTCTCCAGCTCCCTTATACAGTGGAAGTACATGTCAGGGAGGCAACCTGAGAAGATGAGCAGTTACCTCCCCTACCAATATTATATCCCCATCCCAACATGTAGGTCCTTGGAGATGCCTGTAGGCACTGGTTGTGAAAGTTTTGCCTAATTTGCTCTGCCCTCCTGGTCCTCGAAGACACCCTACCCAGGGGCACTGGGCAGGACTTACACTAAAAAGGAGCTGGTGTGTCTCTGTCACTCTGGAAAAACTACACCACTCTCCTTGCTCTCACTCTAGAGCAGAGTTTCAAATGTTTTGTTATGGTAAAGAAGTCTCTATAAAGCAACTTCAAAGCTCTCTATAAAGCAACTAACTTAATTGGTAACTGACTGTTGGGAAGTTGAAGCTGAGAGTTGTTCAGAAACAATGGCAATTTTGGTGATAAGCAACTATGAGCAACATGCTAAAATATAGACAAAAAGCTTTACTAGAGAGAATCAGATGAAGAGACAACTAACAATATTCCTCCTGTGTTTAGAACAAACCACAAAGACTTGCCTCAAAAACTAGCTCTGCAATTGGTCTTGGTTTAATTGGATCAGACTGTGGGAGCAATTTATACTTTAGTGTATCATAAAAATCAACAGACCAATCAACCTGTCATTCATTAGTAGAGACTAAAATCTGGGTGTGATATATGCAGAGGCAGACAGCTTAACAGAGAGAGCAGGGAAATAGTCCACTAGAATTCTGCTAAAACCACTGCTATTCTAGGGTGATTGTCCTCTGCCTGAGGCTATGCCTTCTGAGAACATCTATGGCTTCCCGTTGAATGAGAAACAGACTTTACAAAAATAGTACAGCCAAGTCAATAAACAAGAAAGAAACGAAGTTGAAATTTATAAATATCTCACTGTGTCTTCTAAGAAGTGGATACTCTACGTGTAGAACTGAAAAAGATAACTATTTTCAAATTTACACCGTTACTTTATAGCTTGAAAATAAAGTAAAGTAGAAAATATTCATGCTTACATGACTGATAAAGAAAAAAATATATAAGCCAGAATTTTGGCTGAATATCTAGGAACATTGTGTGTATATATATATATATATGTATATATATATGATGAAAAAGTCCTCAACAATATTGAAGTAATGATATATCTTGGACCAACTCTAAGACTGTATGTGATATTTTCTGGATCTGCCAAAATATTTGAGCACCACACTGAGGCACAATATAGGAATGCAGACTAAATGTTGTTAAAGTAATTGTTTTAATGTATAGAAAAATATAAGCTCACTAGAAGTAGTAAGCAAAATAACAGAAAATACTTCAAGAATCATTCAAGAAAAACCATTAAATCTGTGCTATTCACAATTATTTGGAATAAATTATTGCTTACTATAATTGCTATGTCAGCAATAGCTTATAGAAAAACAAACAGGTCTAGAATATGCTATTTTGTTTTTACTATGATAAAATTTATTTGATTTGTTAATCAAAATAACTGCATGTGAAATATTCAATATATGTAGCAAAATAAGGAAAATGAAATAAAAATTAAAAATTTTACATGATTATGAAAGAAAATAGTCACATACAAATAATACTGAAATTAATATCTGCAGAATTTATATTCTGGCCAATATAAATTAAGATGTGTCCCTGATGAAAAAATAAGCAAATACACGAACAATAGAAACAGAATAAAAACTATTCTGACTCAGAATCTCACGTTCTTTTTTCCTTTTTGTGTGTGCATGTGTAATTAACAGTGGGTTTTCTGAAGAGGTCTTATTGCTAACCTCTTGGAATACTGTTGTTACCTGGTTAGAAAATACAGTATTAAACATCTGATTTATATGATACCATAAGTTCACATGCTAGGTCGCATTTACTCTTCTTCAAAATTAGGAATTATCAAAAATGTTTTAAAAGTCTGAACCATTCAAAAACAAGTTGAACATCTTTCTGTTTCATAGATGGAACAGAAAACTCAAATTAAGAAGGGGTTAAAGTTGATGAGATGAAGTTCTCTGGGGAGGAAAGCAGAAGAAGTATCCAGGAATTGAAACTTTAAAGGAAAATAGAATGAAATCACCTAATAAATTGTAGAGTGACCAGGACCTAATCAATGAAAATGGGTAGTGTTGTGACCTGTATTGAGTTATTGCTCAGGAGGACAAGATTAATCAGAAATAGCCAAGCAACCAGGACCTAGGCTGAGACATCAATATATAGGAACTGCCAATACATGATTTGATTCTGAATGCTATAGTCATATGCATCAGGGAGAAGTAATCAGAATCTATCAATCAGAACAAAAGGAATGAAGAAAAAGAGATTACAAAGGCAGAATAAAAAGAAGAAAAAAAATTTCCATAAATTCCTTCCTCTACTAACAAGAATGTCAAACTACAAAAAGCATTAATTAATTAAGAAAGCCAATTCACTCAACATAAGATTTTGCCATCTTCAATCTTCATACAATCAAGAAAATATAAAAAACAAACTATAAAAAGCACATACAACAGTATTATAAAGATAAAAGGAAGGAAAATATCCATAAAACCAATAAATTACTACAAAGAAAAATGAATACAATAATAAAGAATAGTTGAAGATTAAAATAACTAATTATAAATAATAGAAATTTAAAATTTTTATTAAAATAGAAAAAAAAGAGACAAGATATATTCTAGACTTTCCAAAAATAAAGAATAATTATTTCAAAATAATCTCAGAATTCACCCATAAATCAGTATACCACCATATGGAGAATGATATAATAAAAAAGATGCTAAAATATTGCATTTAAGATAAAAATGTCAAAGCATATCTTTACAGAAACAAAACAAACATATTAGAAAGCATGAGGGAGATTCTATCTTTAAAAATATGACAGAGAATTTTCCTGAAATAAAGAACAAATAATTTTTATATAGTTTTATTTAAAGTGCCAAATTGGAAAAGTAAAACTATCCACATAAGTTTATGTAGATATATAGTAAAACCATGTGATATCAAATACATAAAAGAAAAAAATTAAACCAACTGATCAAAGAATGGCAAATTATTCACAATGGAATGTTAATTATCTTGACAGCAAAAATATCTCATTAGCAATAGTAATTGACTAAAAGATTATGACATACTAAAACATGTATTTGGTCTCTGCCCTCAGTTTCTAACACAGAGCTTCTGAAACACTTGTAATTTTCTAAATAATAAAGTTATAGAAGCATCTTTTGTTATAATATTAGGTCTCAATCCTTGGTTCCTGATATAAGAATTTCTAAGAACCTTGTAACCTTCAGAATAATGCATACATTTGGTATGCTAGTGAGATGACTGGCAGTTATGAGTCACTAGACAGCTTTACAATTGGAAAGAACAAGGCATGATTAGAGAATTGGCACTGCCTGCCCCACCCTTTAACATTTGGGGAGAAGACAGGGGTTGGAGATTGAGTCATTATCAATTATTTAATCAAATAATGCTTATGTAATGGAACACCTATAAAAACACTAACAAGAGGGTTAGGGGAGCTTCCAGGTTGGTGAACACACACACATGCCAGGAGGGTCCCTCCACCCAGCCCCACTAGGACAGAAGTGTCTTGAATTCAGGACCCTTCTGGATCTTACCTTATGTACCTCCTGATCCTGCTATTCATCCATATCTTTTATAATAAACCAGTAATAATAAGTAAAGTGTTTCTCTGACTTCTGTCAGCTGCTTTATGAAATTATTGAACCTAAGAATGGGTTCATGGGGACCCCCAATTCATACACAAATTAGAAGTGTAGGTAGCCTAAGATATCACTATTTGCAATTGGCCTCAATCTTACAGGATTAAGTCCCTTTGTGAGGTCCATCCTGTTATAATTCCAGGTAGCTTGTGTCAGAATTGAATTAAATTGTAAGACACTCAGAATTACTTGGTGCAGAATACCTACACATTTGGCGTAATTGACAATCCGTCATTTTAAAAACTGAGAACAGAATAACATATATAAACAGCTTCACAAACTAAGTCAGTTTCTACACAGATATCTTTCCTGAAATTGTAATAACCTACCCTGAGCTAGCATTACTGACTCCATCTTAGCTGTAAACTCCAGCCTAGCTTCCCCTTCCCTACCACAGCCCCTCTGAGTCCATAACTGGGTCATGCTGCATGTAGATGCGTTGAAGCATACTGTTCTTAACACTTGTAACCATTGTAACCGCATCCTGCTTGGCATACCCCCCTTGCTACTGCAAGAAAAATTTTTCCCTTTGGTCATTGTGTAGCAGGAGCCTGATCACCCCTCCTTCTTGGTAATTGTATGGAAAACACCTGTGCCCACAGCCCCTTCCTCTAACCTGCTTTTCTGCTTCTGTAAAATTCCGCTTCAGCTAGGTACCCCCTCCCCTACCTAAATCAAGGTATAAGAGATAATCAAGCCCTTTTCTTGGGGCCCAGAGAACTTTGAGCATTAGCCGTCTCTCAGTCGCTGGCTATAAAAGGACTCTTAAATTTGGAACTCAGTGTGTGGCACATTTCTTCTAACTCGCTCAGTTACTACAAAATAAATAATAAAACATGTATTTCAGTCAGTAAAAAATTAAAGAAATAAGGAGGGGGGAAATGCAAATATTAATAAAGACCCTAGATAATGATAAAATATCTTGATAAAATAAATTTTATAAAATAGAAATAATTAAATCCAAGTTGTTTTTTGGGAAACCTATAAATAAAATGTTAGCCACTGTGTCATATAAAATAGAAAGATATATAATTAAATGCAATTAAAGTTCTAGTCCTATTTTGTTAGATGATACAGATACTGAGAAATTTT